ATTTATCAGTAATACACAATATAGGAATTACTAAATCGAAATAGAATGTCGTATTAAGAATACACAACCTTATACAGTAATCTGCCTCCCACTAAACGCCGGCGAAACGACTCGATCGCCGTATTTTTGCATTTTTAATGCTGAATCGGTAGGCGGGCGATCCCATCTACACGTTGCTAATCATCACGTGTTTCTGGAAGATGGTGTACACTGATCCAGTCGCATATTACAATTCTGTACTACATGTACAAGTTGTACTCTAGTAAGTTTAGGTAAAGACCCAACTTCTTGCTGCCTCTGCAATGATATATGGGCCCCACCTCCACGTTGCTGGGTGAGCCTGTGAGTGTTGTGCATGGTACCCAAGCCTTGGACAAAATCATTAAGAACGAAAACGTTGCCACCAACGCACCTTTCATCTTACACCCCGACGGTAGGTTGCAACTAAATTATTCTTAAAATGATGTTATTTGGCCTAACGTACTCGGTATAGCTTTACATTCGTCTCATTCATGTGATATTAATACAACATAATCTGGCACGGATACAGTTGTTAAGAGCAGTAGCAAGTTTTGGTTTTTTTTTACAGCACGTACACCGCGCGACAAAACCGAATTTCATAGCTAAGTTGAATATAATCGCCGAGAACGAAAATAGTTGAGATACAAATGCGAGGCTGTGTAAATGTAATGAATCCTGTATAATGTACTAAAGTAAAACGCAGAAGATTTTCATACCGTCTTGTGCCATGCAGTACACAGTTTATAATTATAATCAAGATAGCTAGTCATCCCCGATTGAGTTCCACTTTATCCTAGGATTTGCTAGGACGGATGTCACCACGTGCTTAAGGCTTTGCTTCGCTTCGCTACGCAAAGGCAGTTTCTGCGCTCCTGCGATAAAAGAATTCCTCGGCTCGCTGAGGAGCTCGACGCCGGACCCGCCTCCGCAAATATCCCGCGGCCCTGCTTCGCGGGCACCGTTTGGGTTGGCTACGCGACCGCGCACCCGCTCACCTCTGTTGGTCACCTCTCACCCCGTCATTCTCAGACGGTATGCGTATCCACTCTCAAGGTAAAACGCCAATTATGGCACGATTTTGATGACCTCATTAAGTCTTTATGATAAAGAAGCGCATAGCTACCGCGTTCCGCAAGACGATTGCGCAAAAACAGTAAGCTTATCGTTAGAAAGATGAGGAAAAAAAACCGCATGTAATGAACACTTTGGTAGCGACTGGTTAAGACTAGCGTAATCACGATCAACAGCCGAACTTGTACAGATTAACCTCCCTTAGCAAAAAATACAGCCCGTGGAACAACTTTTGATCAAGTGGACGTCAGCCAAAAATGCAGTAAGTACCCACCATATCAGCAGCGGATATGCCGCTCATTATGACGACATAAAGACTGTTGAGACGTAAAAATCGTCTCAATAAGAACTCCGTTGACTCACTCATTTGTCTGGTACCCATCTTAAACGCTACAAATTTGTAAAGTTTTTTTTAATCTCACCATCACTCCTCTGCAACGACCGTCACTCTGTAGTGACATATATATTTTCTGCAACGTCGGGAGGCAACACTCTTCTTGATTCTTCCTCTAAAGGCGACAGGTGGGTCAAGTACAAAATTTAAAGCAGTTTTCATGTGTGTATTTAACAAATTATATTATCCTAGCAGCTATGGTTCACTTGGCGCTTCATTGGAAGCTCCGCTGTATTCAGGACTCGTCTGCCAGCGAAGACGAAAACACGCCGCCCAAAATGTTGCGTGAGAACACGACTCAGGACAAGATCACCAGCAAAAAGAGCTGTGGGGACAAGAGTAGCGACGACTCAAGCTCTACTGGGACTGCCACACCTCCGTGGATGTCGCCGGGCTTCACGAAGTTTGGATACTTGAAGGCCGTCTCGAATCAACCGCCAGCATCGCAGTCTTCGACGGAAACGGAGGATTCCCCGCTGCGGCGATCTCGACTGGTGGCAAGTCACACCGCTTCTTCCTCCGTGTTGCTGAATAATACAACACCGCGGCCGCCACCGCTGACGACCGCTCGTACGGAAGGCACAGAGCGCCGTCGAGTACGTCGTGAAGCCGCCGTTCCATACGCACGGACCCGTACTGTCGGCGGTCCAGATAGTCGGCCGGCTACCAACCCTCGTGGTTTCATTCTTCCTGGAAATGCGGAGACCGGTCGACCAAGGCTGCGCTCGACTCGTTCCAACGACACCTTTGTGTTGGCACGCTGGCTCCACCAAGTCGCGCATCTCCGGGAACAATTCAACCCGCTAGCTACGGTCTTCCCCGTGGTGCCCAACTTCAGATTTGTGAATGCATTG